GGCAATAGCGCGCGAGAGAAGTTCATTGCAATATATGCATCGAGAGAAAAACAATCATCGTTTTCCCTCCGCTCAATGGACTACTGCGTTCCCGGCGGCGGCAATATCACGTATACGTGGCCGTCATTTCCACAACCATCTCTCGCTCACGTTCAAACGCCTGCGGTCATGGCATCTTTCTTTGCGAGCATTTTAGAAGAACGATAGCTCGTCTCTTTTTTTCCTTCTTGCCTGGTATGGATGCCCTATGCTACAGCCTCTCTGAATATTCAAAATTTTTTAAGTCTCAATTTGTTTCGAATGCCAAATGAGATTCTTTACTGAGGAATTTTTATTCCGAGGAGAAATGCAATGGAAGGTCATAGATTTTTAGCATGCAATCGTATAATATGCGATGTGATATCGATTTCAATGCAATATTCTTACTCGGTCGAAAGAGAGAGAGAGAGAGAGAGAGAAAGAGAGTTAGAGATAGACATACAGAGAGAGGGAAAAAGAGAGGGATCGCTAAAGCGCAACTTTCAAATGAAATAAGATTGGTAGGAGATTTAAAAACTCGTATGTAGTTCATTGATCAAAGTGAGCCAAATCCAATGGAGCTACCACGAAATCTTTAAAGGATCTTATAGTCGAGTAGTAAAGCGAATCATTTTTACTTCTGATTAATTTATCAGTAGTCATCGTTATTGTATACCCGCGATTTGCACGACTAAAATAAAAATGCAAAGAAGAACGAGCCGACATTAAAATGCGATAAAAATGAAAATCGATATTTCGCCCCCATAAAAGAGGAAGTCTTAATGCTGGTAAATATTTGAGTAAGCTCGCCATACTAAAACTCATCGCGACCTTGTCATGGTGACAAGATCGACGTCGAGACGTCGCGTCTGCTGAAACGACGATACATCAATGGCCTATTTATGCGGACGATTCGATACTCGCACGCATAATAGCCGATACGGGCCATTAAATTCAAGAATGCGCTTTTTCGGAAAAAAAGGGAGAGGAAAGAGAAAAAAGTCCTCGCTTACATATCCATTATCGAAACTCTGAGGGATCTCTTCTTGGGGCTTTCATGCTGCCAGCTCTGCCCTCCACGCATATTGAGACGTCAAATGTGGATGGAAATGAGTGACTACATTTCTAACTATATGAAGAGTGATTTTTGTGAATTTCATGCCCACAAAACAAACGTATTGTTATATCTTATCATTTTTCTGAACCAGTCGTGATTTTCCAGTTTTTTTATAGCTAATAATTCATTACATGATATGATAATTTAAGCATAATTATATATTTAAAAGAAAATTGGGCTACTAATATCAATTTTTGAAATGTTCCACTTCACTGATTTATTCGTAGGCGTTACAAAAAAATGTAGGTCGCATGTGTGAAAAATGCGATAAAAATTATGCCGCGATAAAAATTCACACGTTACATGAATTCACTCGTGAATAAATGAAAAGTATGCGTCATCAGGAGAAATTAATTTTTAATCAAAGCGATGATTTGCATACAGAATATCAGATTCAATCTCGAGGGAATTGGTGAAAGTGAAGAGAGCTGATCAAGACAAATGATACGAGTTGATAGCATTAGGACAAAAAAAGAATCTAAATCTGTAAGATTAAATAAATCAGCCGAATGACAAGTAGCAGCTTAGATTCACGTTATATACGATGGGCTGAAGTGTTTATAATTATTTGTTATCGAAGTACTTACGTCACAACGAAGAGCAAGTATTCTATCTCTAAGAGCGTACTTAGAATCCACATTTCAGCGTCTATGTAACCGTAAACTTCTCGCGACAAAGTTTCAATTGTTGCATGTAGTATAGCATATCACTGGATCAAGTTCGATCCGATAATTGCGAGCATGACAGATTTTCGGATAAGGGCTACAGATGTACTCCGTGTAATTACCTCGCATCGAGATTTAAATATTCGCGTTGCGTTCAACCGTAGAGCAAGTTTATTGCTGTCTAATATATGCATATTACCACTCAAGATGATCACTCTATGTAAATGAACATTTATTAGAAAATTATTGAATATTTCTTTGTGCATCAAATTGATTCATATAAATTAAGCAATTCAACATTGTATCTTTGTAATGCAATTTATGCAATAGAAAAATTGATCAACTAAGCCATCGAAATATGCTAAAAAAACGCCTTCGCATCAAAATACAAAGGCAAGCAATATCCGCCACATAAAAACGAAAATGTCACTTGGAGCAGTTTGTGTCTATCTGTTTTTCTTTTCCTCGACGAAAGAAAAATTCCGCATTGGAAAGCGAAAAGATAAATAAAAAAATCCACTGGAAGACTAATGGCACGGAAAACGCGAAGGCATGAAAAAGTGGGATCGAAGTGGGATTAATTGTACACGAGGGTGGCTCCGCGTCGAGTACAAGCTTCAGCCAAGATTGATTGTTACCTGCTCTCGCGAATTATGCCACTGCGGCCCGTGAATTCCCTTTTTATTTCTCTGATTTCTTATTAATTAAATTACTATCGCGAGCAACCAATTAATTATCACACGCTTCACTTCACGTATTGATTTTAATTGGTTCAATGCTCTCTTCTCGTCTGTCTGCCTGTCAGTCTGTCTCTCTTTCTTATTTTAAATACACTTATTTTAAAAGAAGAGTGATTGGATGAACTTTTATTTTTATTCATAGCGGAAGCTGGAATTCGTAGTGGAATGGTATTCAATTAAGTTCTAAAAACTTTTCAAGATTGCTTTGCTTGATAAAACCCGTATCCCACCCCACGTATTGACAGATTGTAACAGTTATTTACAATTGAACGCGATATTGTGTTTTCGATCGTAAATAACACAGACGAAAGCCTATTTAGCCACAGAGGGAGGGCTAAATAGGCTTTCAATTCACCTTCAACAAACCTATTTTTGTCCAATTATTTTATTTAAGCAAAATCATTACTACCCTCCTCCATTTGCCCTTTCTCGTCTCCCTTTAATTCGGAACGAACCCATAGATTTACGCATTAACGAGTCACCCACTCGTTTAGGATTGTCTATGTATTTGGATGTCCTCAAGGAACACTGCTACCCCCGCTCGCGTGCTTTTACTAGACGCTCATCGGTCTAATATATATCAGGCGTCACTAATGAAATGCCTGATGATAACTGCCGGCAATACGTTTGAATGTTTGTCGTTGGCCGGTCGGGAAAAATAAACTTGGTTGCTTGTGTTATGCGTTGGACGTGGATATCGAGTTTGAAGGAAATAGAAGAACGAGAAAATCTTGTTCGATGCATTTACAATTTCCAATGGCAATGAAAAACTAAAAGCAAGCTATGTTGCTATCGGGTACTACTCTCGACGATGTGATATTGTATATCATTCATTCTTCTGAAAGTAGGTTGGATTCTTGTCGATCTTTGCGATACATATTTCATTGTTTGCGTTGCGGCAAGATACGTCCTGTCAGCACACGGCACATGCGTCAAGGTCGATTAGAGGGTAGGAAAAACACATGATGAAGCAAGAAAAAGTTCTGCCCCCCCCCCCCCGCTATTCTCTCTCACTTGTCAAGTCCATCGGACACCAAAGGGAAAGTTGCTGGCGCCAATGAAATAGCCGTTTGCAGCGGGGACGCAGCTGTTTTGCATTGCGAGGGAAGTTGCCTTCAAGGAACAGACTAAAGTAGCAGCCGCGCGAGCCAGGGCGAAGATGGAAGTTCCGTATGTTGTCGGCATTATTGCGCCACCCGGTAGCTGCGGTGTTCGACGCGTGCCCGACTGTTACTACCAAAGAGCGTGCGCCAGTCGATTGAAAAAACTTTTCGCTACTTGATAGCAGGGCAGAAGATAGTTATTCTCAACGATTTACTTCGAATGCTGATAACTTACGTGAGGAATTCCAATTACTCGAACTGTTTTCGTTCGGAAAGAGTGCCAAGTTTTTTAATCTGCTCTCGAGGGTCTTTATAATGAAAAATTGTTTTCAATGTGTTGAAGGTATCTCAGTGTTTTTTCGTAATTAAAAAGAGAATTGCGTTTTTTAATTCTTTACCGACACGGAAATTCGTCGCAAATTTTACGTTGTGATGAATTTTCGAGATCCACTGTTTCATCTCGAAAACCAACGTAAAGCGAAAACCCGACGCATTTCCGTATACCGCAAATCATGAAAATGGAACATTCTCGTAAATGCTTTGAAAAACTGAATTCACGTGCAAGGAAGCTTTTCGGTAATATCTCTTTATTGTTATTTCGTCGCTTTTATCCTCAGTTTACAGCCACCTAATGCCTTTTAAAGGTAAGGGGGAATTGTAGCCGGACCAGCGATTATCGTCAAGACATCCAAGTATAAAGTCATCGCACAACCGAGTGGGAGAGATAGAACGGGAAAAGTTGGTTGTTTTTACAAGGCTTTCAGCCGAAACGCTACCCCGCGACGAATTTAAGAGAAGCAAAATGAAGTCGAATAACTTGACGTCTGATTTGTAAATTGGGACCTGAGCTTGTGTACGATTGCGTGTTTAATTGCTTGCAGTTAGATGCTCCACGACTTTTTTGTCCATTGAATTGATAGATAGTGCACTTTACACAATAATTATTTTTATTAAAAATTAGTTTTGTTCATTTGAATGAAATAGCGAAATGTTTACGAGCTTGACGGTATTAAATCGATGAGCTGTCCAGAGCTCAAGATACGTTAAGTCATGTAGTACAATTTAACGCGTTTAGGGCTATCGCAGATCAGAAAGATTAAATAGTTCTTGCGGCAGTTGAGATATCATTCAAGCTGTTGACTGTTAGTCAACAATTAACAGAGCTCGGCTTTGTCATCGGTGACATAAGCTCGTGTTGATAAGCTATCTCAACTAAATTGTCGTGATTGACTTGTAATGTATACCAAATGGAGCCAGATAAAGAATTTTATTTACTGCTGCACTTACTGTAATTACTGCAAACGAGCTTCAGGTGGAGTATCAATAAATAATGTTTCCTTTTTGGTGCATGTTGCAGTGAAGGCGCACAAAGAATGTCAACACAATGGCACATGGTTTACGCATCCTGAAACGCATAAAATATGGAGTAATTACACAACATGCGTCAATCTTGATGATCTCATTGTAAGTACAATAATATTCAACAATATTCTGCCATTGATTTGAAACTAAGATTAATTTGGCAATAACAGATTCTTTTTAAAGAATTTTAATTTTGTGAAAACACATTTTGTTTTATTTATGAAATTTTCGATTGTATGACATTTTTTAATTTCATATTTATCATAATATTTGTTAGATATTCTAAATATCTACGTTGAGAGAATATGTTGATTAAATTCAGCGATCACATTATATGAAATTATATTAAGTGCAAGCTTACGCAGTCTCAACTTGGCGCTCTGTTGATGCATAATCACGAGTCGGTTGTATTAATGACTCCCTCCTATACGTAACTCCGTATATATCGTTATCAAGTGTCGCGATCGCTTCATGCATGCTAGTAGGCATGAAGTAGCTATAACATTCAGTATGCATCACTGACGTTCTATGCCCGATCAGGCTTTTAAAAACTTGTAATTAAAATTATGATCTTCTTTTTATATAGATAAATAATTTTTTTGAAGGAAAACAAAAATTATATTACGAATTTTAGGATGCAACAAAATATGAAAATTTAATAACAGTTTTGCGAGACGAAGGCTGAATATTTCTTAGCGATTCAATCGTCTTTGATATACCGCAGAAAAACGAAAGCTGTTCATACACGGTATTTCGATAGTTGGAATTGATTGTTCGGTTCAAACGTTATAAAATACCTTCACCATGCAATTACAGACTTTATGATAGAATGATTTCGAGATTTACTGTGTCAATGACTAAACAAATTTTGATATGAATTATGACAGATATTGATGTATATATATTCGGATAGATAAATCCACATACATTCACGTCAATACCAGTCATAGCTAAAATCTAAATTTTTTTTAATCACAAAATATTCGATAGCAATATAATCTCCGATTCACACAAAAAATATCGAACAGGCACATAACGCGAAGTTAATTTGTACTTGTCAAAAAATGTAAGAGATCGCTTTAAATCATCGCAACTCGCACATTCGATCCATTCTCGGTAGTATAATAGATTCTTCTTGTTCAACTTTTGTCGAATGTTGTCGATGAATCAAGTCTTTTCAAACGTCATTTAACTGCAAAAAAATCTCCATCCGTCATTCTAGGGATAATTCACAAATTGTATAGTCAGAGTCTACTTGAAACTCGTGGAATATTTTAAATTTTGTATACCAATGTAAAAAAAAAAATAAAACAAAAACAGTGTGCGCGTTACGCACAAGCACACAAAGTGTATACCTTGCGTACACGAGAGCTTTTGCGGGAATGCATGATAGAGTCCACGAGAGCATTTTTCAGGAGCGCTTTCATGCACTTTATGAGCGAACTAGTGAGCATCTTCTCTTGTTTATGGACTTGCAATTCTGTTGTCATCTTTTATTCTGCTATTTTATGCTGCCGCGCGGAATGAAAAATACCGAAAAATCGTGCGTTTGAAGTATATCGAATAAAAAAACTTTATGTCATATGGACAAGTTTTATTTTTGTTAAGTTATTACATTTTCATTTTTTAACGCGAAAAAAAATTTGTAATATCGTTGTATTTTTGTCGCTGGTATAATTAGTCTACATTGACCTAAAAACGATAAAGAATATTACAATACGTGGTGAATTCGAATGAGTTTTCCCATCAAAGAAAGAGAAAATTGAAAGCTACCGTAACGCTATTTGACGTAAAAAAATTTAAACTACTAATTTCACTTTCCAGGATCTGACATCGCGCGTGAGAGCAAGCTCGTACACGGAAGGTAACATCTCGCGCGACATCGACACGTTAACTCAATTAAGGAGAAAGGGCCAGAGAGAGGTGGGATGTGCATGGCTACACGCACAAACAAGAGGGAGAATAATAAATGGTGTAGTAGTGTTAGTGCACTCGACTCCGATGATCGCGATAACAGGTCACACCGGAAATTAAATGCCCCGTTATTCGCGTGGGGATTCACCACGCCTATATATATATATATATATATATATTTTCATGTGTTGTTAACTGGATTTCGTACGTTTTGGGAGATTTGACTTATCTTTTTTCTTCTATTCCATGTCCAGAGCCATGATTTTGGATTCATAAATCCACTAACACCGTGCGTTCTTCGCGAAAAAAAATAGTCGCTACCAGTCTACGAACTTTCAAACTGCTGAAGAAAATCCAAACGCTATTTGCATCTTGGACTACACTAGAAGAATCAGTCTCGACAGCAGATCTTCTCAAAAGTGGCAGGAAGAGAGTAAGCCCTGGTGGCATTCACTTGCAAGCTGCGCGATGGCAGCGCTATTTTTTCTTTTGCGTCTCTGATTGTCCTCGGCTCGTTTTCAGTTCCTTTACCCGTCTCCAGGCTTTGTTTTCGCTATCTGCTGTCTTCCTCTCTACTGTGCCGTACGGCGTCGAGAAGGAATCGACGTGCTCAGACGTTCTAATTCTCCAGTGCGCGAGAGGAACGAAAAAATCACGCCTTGAATTATTGAGATATTCAGGGCTAGGCGAGAAAATTGCATTGCTCCCCGAGAATAGCATCGCGAAGATTACCATGCAATTTTCGGAAGATCATATGTAAAAAGGAGAAGCTGCTGGCTTTTCCTTTTCTCCGGTGAAATTTACATTTTTTTTTAATTTTGCAAATCAAAGAAATATCTGTATACATAATGCGAAAGGTAACGGTTGGACTTGCATACAGGCACATTTTTGCATTTTATCTGTGCTGCAGAGCTTGTTCGGACTCTCTACATAATTCCTTGAAAAAACATCTTTATAGAAACTCTTCTTTTTTTTACGATTGCCTCGACTTTATAGTCCCTCGAGTGTAACTATACACATGAAGCATAAAATATTCATTCCCTGTTGGACTCTAGCTGAGAAAATTCCTCACAATGAAAGCGAAACAGTATTCTCTGTGTATTTTTTACGTTGCACTTAGTTTTGCTTTTCATGCCCGAGAAAAAATAATGAGATGAGACAATAATAGCATCACTTGCCTCACTCTCGAATTCTCACCCTGTACACCTGAGTATAAACAGAGTCAGAGTGAAAAGGGAGAGGCTGTTATTACATGTAATCACGAAGGGAAGAAGTGTCAATTGTTTTATGTAAATATTATATGGACGACCCGATTTTATGACAGCAAGGTAAATGAAAGAGACATGATGAAATTCTAAGGGAGCAAAATTAAAAAAAATCTAATTTCAACGGGGACTGCCGATGTTTCTATGTTGTGAATTTATTATAAAGGTGACTGTTAATATTTGATGGTGTAACGTGTCATGGTTTATTGATAAAATGTCGATAAAAGAAACCAAGAAAAATTGGCTCGCGAAAACTTATAACACGCGCTTCGAATATATTCCTCGACATTCGCTGCTTTGAAAATTGATATTTTGATATTGTTCCGTCCTATCTGTCGCCATATGCCTCAAATCGATCACCTCTTGAGCAGCTCGAAAAGGTAAAGAAACATTAATTTGAATAAATATCGCGATCTATAATCACTGAGTACCAACTAAATTTGATCATAAACTGCTATGAATAACAGATTACCAAGCGTCAAGGCTCATATATAACCCTTACTCGCGATCAAACAATGCCGATTAATCACGCGAGTTTTGATGATATCGAGCGTGATAGCAGCGATAACATGGGGTAAAAATTAGCATAAAATTAAATGAACGTGATTAATGGGCTCTGTTTCTTTCGCGGGAAGGCAAACACGGCGATCGATCGATCTCTCTCTCTCTTTCTCTCTCTCTCTCTCTCTCTCTATCTCTGAGCAAACGAGCTCGCCTTTTGGCACTGCTAATCAGCTCGCGAGACGCGCGTCGAGAAATACGTCTCTTGTCGAAGTTTCCGTGAGCACGAAACATCGATCATGCCAGTCGCGACGCTCAAAACAAGTCTCGCGGAATTATTCATCGGGTTAATAGCACGATCGCGACCACTATCACCGTCGTCGTCGTCGTCGTCGTCGTCGTCGGCGAGTCCGATATGCCGTACTCGGCACATTGAACGAACTTCCGCCTTTGGGACTTATCTCGCTCGACGAGCGTTCGCTGACTCGCGAGGCTAACTTTTTTACTTCTTTGCGCTTAGCGCTAAGCATAATTATTCCAGTTGAATGCCCTGATAAGCGGTAATTCTTTTATTTCATATCGTTTATCTCTCGCGCTCATTGTTTGCCATCGCTTCTGGGTTATGATTTCCATTATACGATTTCAGAGTATGTATTGTTATATATCTATGATAAATTATAGCCTTTGTACGTATAATTTTAATTCAATATATAAACAATAACAAATATTTTGTGTATTGTACAAATGAAAATGAAATTATTCGAGTTGGTTACCAAAATAACTTATTCTATTTATTTTATTTATGAAATAAGTTATTTTCTTAACCGCAAAATCAGGTTGAAATGATAATAACAAAAAGAAATTAAAAATATTAAATTATAAAATTGTAGTGGCAGCAGCAGCTGAACTATCTTTATGAGACTGGCTACACGATATCGCTGGTGGCACTGCTTATATCTCTGGGAATCCTCACATACTTCCGGTAAGTCAAGTAATGAATTAATCTCGCAGAGAAGCCGTAATCTCCATTAAGAATCAGCTCGCTTGAATAATTTTATTTAACTTCGTGCTTCGCAAGCACTCATATTATTCTTTGCAAGTAGGAAAAATTTAAGCGATCCCCACCCTTCGATCTCCTGATACGTCGCGTTTGCGGAATCTTTATTCGTGCGTAAAACTTGGTAGCATTTTTTCACGTCACAGGGATATGCTTAAGCTCGTGTGCATTGTCATAAACTTTTCACAATGCAGTAGTATGATTGTTGTATACCTCTTTCGACGCGTGTACGCAAACTCGTAACTTTGTTCGAATGCGCTCGCATTAATAAAACATTGAAACTACTCACAAAAATTTTAGCTTTTATCAACATACTTTGAAGCTAATAGGACGTCTTTTATCCCGAGATGAAGCAATCATAATAAAAATCCTTTCGTGATAAAACTCCGTAATACGGTTTAAAGAGAGTTCACACAGGCAGACACACTCGTCGGCTATGCTCTTTCAAAGATTATTCTCAAAAAGATGACTTTTCCGTGGTAGAAAACTACGAACTTTGCCAGTCGAATAGCCGTCGTTGCGCATCGTTCAATACATCAATTCCATCGATCACAACATCGCCGACATTGAATTTCCGGCGTAGAAATGCTTGATCCATATTCATGCAACGACACAATGCGCAACAGCTGACTATATCGATGCGTGCGCGTATGTATAATGCAGTGTGTGCGCATTTTGCAGATCGCTGAGATGCGCGAGAATCACGCTGCACATGAATCTGTTCGCATCGTTCGCCGCCAACAATGCGCTTTGGCTCCTTTGGTACGGGTCTGTCGTTGCCAACGCTCAGCTACTCCTGCACAACGGTGTAAGTTTGCAGAAGCGTTGTCTGTGTACACCTTGGAATGTCGAGATTCATTTTTCATTATCTTTTACAATGGAGCTTCGTAAGGGCACTTTATAATTAGAGTTCTTAAGAGAGTGAGTACTTATACTCAGAATGATTTATTAAACGCCATTAAAAATGTTCAGAAGTTGCCGAGTTTGAGAAAAAAAAATTCGTTATTTATACTGTCTGAAATATTGACGATTTACTGGACAATAAAAGAAAAAAAGTCTCATCGATTATGAAAATTATCAAAGGACAGTAATGCAAAAGAATAACGTTGCAGTTTGGCTGCCGTTTTCTACATGTGATACTACACTACTTCCTATTGACGAATTACGCGTGGATGCTGTGCGAAGGCTTCTATCTGCACACACTCCTCGTCAGCGCCTTCACAAGCGAAATAAAATTGGTCACTTGGCTAATGGCCCTTGGATGGTCTATACCCGCAGTCATTGTCACCGTCTACGCTTCGCTCAGGGCAACCAGTGACGACCCCATCGACTTGCTACAGTCAGTATACATATGCGTCTTTCGTCGCTGTGTTACGATTGCTTTGATGGTTTCGTTATATGGACGGAATATACTTTCCTTTTTATGGCCGTACGAGTACTGCACGCAAATGATGAGCTTAAGAGATGAGCGAAAAATACACCAGTCCGAAGCAGATAAGAACGATGTCCGTAAATCATATAGTCGGTAATAAATATTTTCGCGAACGATCGCGCTGCAAAGACAACGAACACGCGTGTGCGTATTTATATATATAGGCGGCTCGCTACTCTTTCGGCAGAGCCGCAAGCGTGTGCCGCGGCAGTCGAGAAATTAGATTGATTCAATATTTACGAAAGAGAGGAGAGAGCCTTCCTCGTGCCGGCGCCGACGCCCTTTGAAAGGCAATTCGCTCGGAGACAAAGTCAATCAACTCAGTTGACCGACGGAAGAAAACGTAAAGCCATTATCGCGCGCATTGTGTGCGGAACGGAAAAACAGGCGGTCGCGCATATTAAAACTGAGAAGCCGACAAATCGAATTATGCACTCACCGCGGCCTAACCTATGCACGCGCAGCCTAGAGCCATGCGTTCTACACACCACTACGCACCTAAGGTCGCCTTTAATGGAGGCGGTCGAAGCGAGTAATCGAATCTGGTCGCTGTAACCCGACGTGTCCGAAGCGTGCGCTCGCGTGCTTCGATGAAAAAAAGGGAAATAGTTCTTGAACGAGCTTAATGAGCACGACGGGGACTATTGGTTTTTCGGTCGCGCTGCTAATTAGATTTATTTTTCACTGTTTCGTAAGCGCGACCTCGCCAATTGGTAAACCGATTGATTGCGGCAAATCGTTCGCGCTGCCGCGCGTCAAAGGACAAATACTAAACATCGTCTAGCAGAACGATAACAAGGACTTTTACGTGTTGCCAAGCCAAGCGCCCAGATAGAGATTGAGCAATCGGTCAATAAAACTGAGAACCACGAATGCGCTCAGAAATGGCTTTATTTATGCCGTTGCGTAAAACAAAGGGATAGGAAATCATAACGTTTATATAGCGAGCAGCAGCAACGCTTTTGCTGATAAATCCCGCTGGTCAAACAACGTTTTCCGCCCGTTAAAAAAAGCGAAATAAATTTAAAAAAAAAATTCTTTACCGTGCACGCAGATGTTGGATCAACGAAGGCAACTACATGATCGTACTTATCTATCCAGTATGCGTATCAACGCTACTCAACTTGCTATTCCTCTGCAACATTGTGCGGGTTTTACTTACAAAGTTGAGAGCTGGACCAGCTGTTGGATCGCAAGCGCCCTCGACATATATACTGCAGGCTTTCCGGTAAGTTACAAGAAAAAAAAACTCATTTTTGCGTCAAACTTGCACGCATCTTGCGCTGCGGAAGCTTGCAGACTTTTTATGAGTGGATTGCTGCGATTGTTAAGGTAAAAAAAAAGGAAAATATTTTCTTTGCGAGCGTACGAGTTGATTCTTTGGTTAAGTAAGGGGTTAAGTTAGCCCACGTTACTAATCATTTATTTTCCGTGAAAGTCTTAACTATTTTTTCTTATTAACACTTATCTATATAATCAATTTATGTACATGCACAGCCGAAGCTTTCCACTACAAAAGCGTTATTTCGAAAGTAAACTAGTTGAACTTCAAAATGTGACATAATAATTGCAGTAACTTTGCACATCTACAGTCGCAACTGTGATCGTCAATAAAATTGACATATTGCACGGAGTCAACTGAAAACAAACATTAATAATTTGTATTGTATGTGTGTGTACAGAGCGACATTACTGTTGGTACCCCTGCTGGGTCTTCACTACTTGGTTATTCCGTTCCGACCGGAGAAAGGACACTCGTGGGAGTATGCTTACGGTGTGATATCAGCCATAACGGCGTCCTTCCAAGTAAGTCATCACACAAATATATACATATACAACTTCTGACATATTGGGGCCAAAACTTTCTCCATCCAAGCACATTATCGGCTATGTTAACGAAGCGCTGCAAGTTCCCCAAGGATTAATGCGATTCACTTCGACAATCTACATAAATTCGTTCGTGTATATCATCGATGAGCCGTGAAAATATTTGCTCGACGAACCTTTTATCTTTTCGTTAATTTTCTTCACTTATACTTAGTCCAACCCCAAAGGTGTCTGTATGTCCAAGGGAATCCAAATTAGTTCTCGTTTTTTTTACGATGCTGTAAAGAAAAACATGTTGAGCTACGTTAACTAACGCTTTTTGTTTGTTCAGGGACTCTGCGTGGCTATACTTTTCTGCTTCTGCAACGGCGAGGTGAGAATATTTTTCCATATTGACAGCTTCCCTTGTCTTGTTCGTCGCTCGATAGTAACTTACTTTACGTGTACTTTCACAGGTGATAGCGCAGTTCAAGCGCAAGTGGGAAGGCACAGCGTTCGCGCGCAAACGCGCCAACTCGTGCACGGCCACGACAGTATCGGTAAAAAAGCGATGCTTCCGTACTTACCTAGCTTTCTTTTCTGCATTACGCTTAGTCGATTACCTTGGCTTCTATCGCCCTCGATGATGACTGATTTACAATGACAAAAGGGGCGATAGACAATAGAGCTTCGTTCACTTTTCTCTTCTTCGCGTGCGACGCGAATGACAAAATTTCGCCTCGCGCGCGTCGTACCCGAATAACACAAACGTTTTCAAAATACTTTTCGGAAAACTTCAAAATGCTTTCTCATTTTGGTAAAAAAAAAGCGTTTTTTGAATGTTTTTAAAATGTTGGATAAGTCTATCCATTATTTTAATTTCACGAGTTCCAGAGTTTGTAAAACGTTTTAAAAACGATTTTTTCAGTAAAATTTTTTGCAGTCTATATATATCTTGAATATATATAATTCCGATGTTCGATTACGCTTGTATTTTTTTATCCTAGGTGGGTAAATATTCAAAAAAGTATCTATGATGATGAAAGTGTGGGTAGTGTTAGGTTGTTGATTAGATAGATCAAGTTTTCATCTTAATATGATCTAATTACTGCTGAACTATACTTGTAAAAAAAGGTATTAAATATTTTAAAGATGGTAAGTTTATTATATAGGCATGTAAATTGCAGCAATAGGTTATCTAACGGTAGCCAATAAAAATAAAATTGACGGTGCAATTCAAATTAATAGTTCATTTCAAGTAAGTAGGTGGCCTCTTACTGGGTTTTCTGCCGTTATTTAGCAAACTTGTCACTTTTACAATATTTAATACTGATCTGTTTATACACATATTATTACTGGCTTATATCTTTAAAGTTGATAACTAAAGAAATGGAGTTTTGGTCAATCGACCCCCGAGTCAACCCTACACTTGGAGGTTTCCTCTCCTGAGATAGAAAAAAGGCAATACGTTGTTAAACGTCTGAATTATTTATATTCACGATATATACAATTTGAATAATACAAAACCTTTTGAGAATACTTTCAAAACGTTTTCAAAAGGTTTTTGTGTTATTCATAATGACCTAAACTGGTAATATAATAGTCGATCAAAAAGGTCATTAGGAAAACTGGTTTGGGAAAACCAATCCAGTCCAATTCCAGTCTACCAATCCAAACGATATGAAAACGTTTGGAAAACGTTTTACAAACGATTAAAAATATCACCCGCTTAGATTTTTAGTGATGAAACGTTTTCAAAATACCACAATAACGCAGTTTTGTCTGAGTACCAACAAATTTGCGGAAATATCCAATGTCTCTAAAACGTTTTCAAAATTTCATTAAAACTTCACGTCTTTTTAGTTTGGCAGAAAACGTTTTGCAAACGTTTTGTGTTATCCGAGTAGCAAGATGAGCTGACGATTTGCACCATTTGATTTATACCGCTGATCGACAAACGTGATTCCATTCGAGCAAGCGAATATTCTCGCTCAGTGGTATATGTATATCGAAGGTGTGCATCTGCATATTGATTTCAACTAATTGCGTGCATCTCTTTTTTTTCTTTCTGTTTTATGCTTTGTAGTTTGAGCGCTTATCACTGCTGGCTGGCGCAGTCACACAAAAGTGATCATAAAAACTTCGTCCATGCTCTCATACATACACTCTCGCTTCCTACTCTGCTTCTTCACTCTTTCCTTTACGCTTTCTTGGGCGGCTTGACTATGTGGTGAAACCTGGCGAAACCTGGAGCACGTAGTATATATTTATCTCAGTGGCTGTAACTTCGTGATACAAATGCATTCATTTCGAATTTATTTAACCTACATAACAATATACCTACGCGATGTAATTATTGTCACATCTTTATCTCAATATGTCAATAAATCAAATTGACTTGAAAATATTATCTTAATAAATATGAGCACAATGTTTGTCATTTATTGATTATTTTGATATTTACGTAACTATTTGTTATATGACTTAGCAGGACAAAATTAACGAAATATAATTTTGAAGAAACAGCTCACAGACATATACGCCAGATAAACCTCGTAGAGCGCAAGCAAAAATACATGCATCGCTTTCACAGCACCGCTAAGCATTTTAAGAGCCAATAAAAGATAAGCATACTAGAGCGACAAAACAAACAAATGCTTCTGTGGCCACTACAGCGACACCTTGCCATGAAGTCTTTATCGATGTCGCTTCGCGACTCGTCAATGGTGCGATGCGGACGTCTCTATATATTATGTATATTTTTTAATGTGTTTTGTTGATTATTCTTACACTCCATCATTATTTATACAGTATAAAAACCATTGCACTTACCCTCGGCAATGGACTAACTAACTACTGATTGCAATTAACATTTGTTTATTTGTACTGAGAAGTTTTTAATTAATCAAGAGATGCGATCGAAGAGTCAGCAAAGATGATTTAAGAGTAGCTGGGATAATCTCGAATAAGGGATATAAGTCCGCGCTTAATCAGACGCGAGCAAATTCTGCTCCTATAGATCAGACGATAAGCAGAATCAGTGTTTGAAATAATAATCGGAAAAAAAAACAAGATAGAAAGCGAAAAGCTTGTGAGTCCGTATCGCCCCAATGGCAGCCGTCCGAGTCGAGTCCATTGTGGGGTGTTGACTGTTGCAGTTTGTCCGCTCGACCGCAGGTCCGATGGCGGGAGAGGAGAAGGTATGACTATCAGTCGGCGCCCTCGGTGGATCCACGAGACGACCACAACAGCTGCAACAACAGCATCAGATTTGCCGCTAGTAAGCATCGTGACGGCAACGGCGGCAACGACGTCACAAATGCCACGGCCAACAACGACGACGATGGCTGCGAGCCGCAACAGCCTCCCACTATCATCGCAACCAGCAACGGCGCCAATCATTCCACCTCGCCGCGACTTAGAACAAATGAACATCATACGCTGCCCAACAATAATAATCATCATCATCATCACCATCATCAGTCCCAGTGTTAATGAACACCGTTGTTTTTTGCTACCGTTGCAACTGCTGACTGAGTTTTTCTTTTCTTTTCACTTGCCGATCATCTAATTTTGTGATCTGATCATTTTTCTTCCTTTTTTTTTCTTAATGGCGTTCCAATTTTACGAATGTTGATTTTTTACAGTATGTTTTATATCTTTTTTTTATCTTTTGTCCAGATAAGCGTTTTACTCGTTATATTGCAGTATAAAGTGGTCATCTTAAAGTAATGACGTTGTTCGTCTAATGTATTTGTATATTAGACGAACTTGCAGATTCAGGAGAAAAATATGAATAGTTGACTATTACAATACTTCAAGCCATTATTGATTTCATAATCACTACCTAGAGTTTTATAATTCCAATTATTGGGACTTACCCATTTACGTCTCGAACGAATTCGAAATAGAGAGAGATTTAAATTTATTATGAAAAAAATTATAAAATACAAATTGTTTTTTACATTATAAAGTATATTATGTTGAAAATTTTTTAAAAATTGTTGCGAAATAATATTAATATACATTACGAGTGATCGATTTTCGACTATAGATTTATATTTATACTCTGTGCATGTCCGTAGCATTATTGCTAAAAATACTTTTATAAAAAACATATGATATTAATATTGATTAAAACAGCGAAAAAGCAAAGCTGTTGAATTAAATATTAGGGCATTAAAAAGTTTTAATCCTAATTTGTACATTCACAATTGTACATAGTTGATGAATATGTCGATATGAACAAAATTTTTCACTTTTAAACGATTGTTTGTAATATAAAAATTCCAACGAGTCTTATTCCACTAATGACTGCCAAAACGGTCAGAAACTGATAAAATGGTTCTAAAACAATATTTTATGTGGGCTATATTTAAATGTATACAATAATAATCATTGCGATTTATTTTAAAGATATATGATATAAAATTTTCTTCAAAGTTACATCGCATGTTCACTTATGTTGAACGAAATGTCAGTGATCGGAATGAAATATATATACATGAATTATGTATAAGAACTTGAATATTTATATGAAACCAATTGTAAGTGGTATTTCGGTTCTATTATTGAATGAAAACTCTATGTACACGTTGGTACTTAGGCACAAAACAAAAGAAATGAAATATTTTGTTAACTATTTTCTCTAAATGAAATATTTCTACAGAATTGTATAAAATAATTACGAGTGATTTCAAGCACTGGATAGCTCTATGTAAAATTAAATTAAACGTTAAATCATAATTACATAGGGGAAATAAATCACTTAATGCCATATCACATGAAATGTAAATTCAAAAACTGCACAGTTTAGTTTTTTTACTACATTCAATAACTTTATATTTCAAATATATTTAAAAAAATCTGTATTTAGTATGTACTTTATAAAATATATAATTTTATAAGTGATCACGTGTAAAAATAACTTATGTTGTGATTTCGAGAGTAGTAGTTCTACGTAATACCACTTTTTATTTGTGGTGTCCTGCAAATTTTCCTAGAATTTGAAGTACAATTACAACTTTTTTCTATATTATAAAAACAAAAAATATAAATCTCATATTAAGCTACAGCTGAGTACATATATCTATCTATTTTTTAAATAAAAACGTTGAAAACTAGTTAAAATCTTTAAGGACTATTTAGAAGTACAAATCTTCTAAATTATGAAATGTTCAATGAATTGCCTTTAATAACTACCCATAAAATTATTTTCATTAAAAAATATATCATATAGTACTGAAGTAGAGCACTTTTCAATAGTAACTCTTCATTTCCTTAATTGATTTTTTAAGATGTAAGTAAAAATATTAGTAAGTAACACATGTTTTATTGTCTTAAACTATTTTCAGGAGGTATTATTAGAGAAGAAAATTAATTTGCATCCATAGCAAACGTACGTATGCCCATGTATTTTACGAATATCGTATAATCAACGAAAAATGTACGTAAAACATAAATCTTGATATATTAAGTAAAATCGTATAAGAAATAATAAAAATACGTTCGATGTACTTTCGCAAGCTGAAGGAAAGCTTAATCTATCGAAGTTAGACGATAAGGTGCGTTTTTCAATATTACATTTTAGAAATCAAATGGCTTTATATTGTAAAAAATAACAATGCTCCTTGTTATATAGCACAAAGTAATTTGTAAATAACAATCTTTGTATACGAAGTGAAATATATGTGGACAATTTAAGGATGTTATGTAAAAGATGTGCCGGAAAGAAAATTATGATATGTATATGTGTTTAGAAACAAAAAATAGATACTGTTATTACTTATTTCAACTTGCTATTATTATTTCAAGATTTTATACAAAAACTTAATCACTTAGAGTCTATAAAAAAGTTTCAAATAAAAAAATACATATTAAGTAAATATTCACCAATCCATAAATAAAATACCACTTACAATATTTTGTTCTCACACACCGCAAAACAGAGAAAAAACATTTATAGAACATTATTCAATAAGTTAAGTTAACTGCCGGTTACAATTATTCACATACTCACATGATGTAAAGCTACTAACACAGATATACACACACACACGCGCGCGCGCGCACACACACGCACACGCTTTAACTATCGCTTTTGACAGTTTTTAACTGACATTTATAAACTCCCACACATCGAAGCAAAAATACGAATAATCAGAGTATCACGTTTTATATAAAAAGTTATAAAACCTTCCTGGGTTTTACTTTCTTTAAGGCCATACAAGATTTGCAATTCTGGGTAAACTTAGTGCAATAATTATACTAGATAAAAGATTCACACTGTGATTATCAAGAATTTGTCTGCCACTTATATGTTTTACTCCTTTTCCTGGTCTCTCTACGATAATACCTTTGTCATTCATACCTAAAATAAAACGAATCGTGAATTGAGACTAATAAAAAATCCAATCAAAATGTTAATCAAATCAATGATTTACCCGAGTATTGTAAAGTGGCTCCCAAAATGGAATCAACAATACTTCCAAGTAAACCACCAATGCCTCCAAGGACTATAATAGGCCACTGAGGAGTTGATAGCTCAAGAACAGCACTATCAACAGTGTATAATACAGTCACATAATGGAATAAGCCTACTACTAGGCCACCAAGTGCTGAAACTAGAAGTCCTACCCAAGAAACTCCACCATTTGTTCCTGAAATAAAATATTTGATACTATAATACATATATTAAATAATGCTTTACATTAAAATGACAGGTAATAAAAAAATTATATGACAGCATAACATGAAAATTATTATCTGTACCTCGAGGTACTCGCTTCCTTGTTGTAATAAGAAATGGATCAGAATTTCCCACTACTGTCCCAATTTCAGAAGCCCAGGTATCACCATTACAACAAGCCATAGCACCTTCAATTTTTAAATTGTAGTTGAAATACTAAAATTATTTTGATCTTTGCATAACAATAACAGACTAAATGGTTTACCCATAATACCCATGGACAGCCATGAACTTCTGTAGTCTTTATCAAAATCAATAGGTCTTTCACCACATCCCACATCTAACAAATACAAAATGGCTAGCTGTGAAGCCATTCCTCCATTACACAGCACTTGAATCCAATTTCTTTTACCTCCGTCTCTTAATTCTTCTATCTTCTTTTTTCTATCTAATCGAAATTTTGTTGCTTTAGACGATGTAAAGAAAAAGGCCATCAAACAAGCAACATGAGTGAGACTTGTTAATGTTAGAATAAAGCCCATAAGAAAACCTATAGCAGATATTTAATCACTAGATATATATAAAACTAAATAAATATAAAACTAAAATTGTATTACTTGTCTAATTTCCATAAAAACAATATACCTAAAAACGCTCCAGTTTTATCAATACTCTTTTGTTTTAATCCCCACAATGCACATAAAATAGGTATTAAGAATGCAGCTAGCCACCTCCATGGAGATATAACGCTATAGCCTAATAAAAATCAAATAGTATTTATTCAAACTGTAAACATCTGTAATTAACTATTGAATGTTAATTGTCTGAAAAATTAAAATGCAAGGGTTTAGAAAGGTATAAGTGTTAAAGTTATATCTTCAACAATTGTTAAAATTCTTTAATATATTGATTACTGCTGTGCATAATACAATGTGACACATAGCACACATATAAACACATTTTATAAATTATTCATTTTGCATACGTACCTAACATTTTATCAATCTCAAATTGTCCTGGTTATTCCAAATAAATTCATTAGATACTTTATTTATTAATTAGTTAGTTTATTCTAAGTAAATTTATCAGGTTTTCTTTTTCATTTTTATTTTTTTACAATTTTTTTACAATATTTTTTTACATATTGCGTACTAAGCACTTTCATAAAATGTCTTCAATTAAATACTAAAATCGTTAGCTCCATTGAGTTTACTGATACGACTCCAAAGTTCAAAAACAGAACTCGAAGGTTATGTCGGTGAAAAAGAGCCTCGGAAAAAAGTATAGATGAAGAAAAACGCCAAAAAAATTGAAAAAATATCTCACCATCGCTATTCTGATCGTAGTTCGAAAATAACGAATATGCCACGTTGATTGTCCAAAATAACATGGACAGTGGAATAGCGAAAGCACTAAGAAGGACAGGAATCAAGTAGGGTGATTTCTGATGATCGTCCCTGTGATTATCCATTGCTTTTATAACTTTTTTTTTCTAATCTTCACCGGCACTCAGTTCAAATGATAACGAAATGTTATGACTGTTGACGCGTTATTCAAGCGTTTAAGAGCGTCTTTCTCCGCTGGAAAACTTGGCGAGACCTGAAACCCGGGTGAGACTGTGCTGCGCTCGGCAAAATAATCAGCACATGCGAGCAAATACTTTCGCAAATGTGTGTACACAATGCTTTCATACAAATGAACAGTTGTGCAAAAGAATGTAATTATTGATTGCTTTCTTGATTTATCGCTGTATCAGCTATTATTCGATAAACCCTGCTGCTATTAAATCGTTAACGCTGTATTCTTTTAACTTTTAATTTAATTCTAATAATAGCCCAAATTTTTTCAGAGGGTAGTTCTTTATCAATGTTTAATAAAGAAAATATGAAAATAATATAAAATTTTAATATTGTAAAATTGACTTGATTTTTTATGGAATAATTAAAAATGTTCTTGATTAATAAACCTAAAATTTGATTATTGTAAAATGAATATAGAATAATGGAATAATGATAATGAAGCTGAAGTTATTGCAAGATGAAAATTCATTATTTATAGAATACTAATCTTGACAGCTTGTCTTATAATATTAAAACGTATTGAACATTACACAATCATATTTGAAGAAGTGGATACCACTTGACTTTTTTGGAATGGATAAATACTACATTAAAAACTGCTTAGGGATAAATAAAACATAGAAACAGATTTTAATTAAAACGATGTAAATTTAATGAAAGTTCCAAAGATTACACTGATATATATTTACATAGAAAACTGAAAATTTTCATTAAATATGACAATGAATGAAAAGAATAATAACTCCGGCGAGCTTGGGACTCTGTTATCAACGATGTCGTACTATATACAGTACAAAATATTCGCATGAAGTCACTCTAAACCGAAAGTTAATCTGCATGGATTTTGGTCAAGAGATGTAATTTTTGTGCCGGCGAAGTAAGACTTCATTTCACAACAATGCTTTTTAAACTATAGTTTGTAATACAATAACAAAATTCGAGAAAATATTTCATATTCATTGCATTTAACCAATCTCATCAACTTTTCATACAGTTGTCGAAAAGTAAAATTTATGAGCTTGCAACGTTATCAGAAAACTTGTCAAATTGTCTCGGCACAAGCGTATGCGCGACATCGCGCGTAATCGTAAGTATGCATCTACAAAAATATTTCTATCGTGTTTTTTTATTTTTACGTTTCAACAATATTTTTTTCTTGTATGAAGTTTCAACATTTTTAAGTCATAGAAAAATCTTTCGTTTTAAGCGCAGTACAAAAGTTATATAAACCTTAATTTTTTTTCAAGGATTTTTTAAATGTTTTTTTCACCATTAAGTCTTGTCATTTATAATTATCGCGTCCAGCTCGCTTTCTAGAAAAAATAACAAAACTTTTAATAAATATTACCACTCAATAGTAATTTTTAACTTAAATATTACAAAAGTAATAGTTTCTCATAATAACATTACTGGGTTTATATTATAACATTACTTTTCATTCATCATACCATGAAGTATATGTTAAAAATTAAAGTTGACTATTACACTCTCATTTTTCTCAGGAAAGCAGCAAGTATATCAGTTCTTATTTTAAGCGTATATCGAAGAATTTGATACAATTTTACAATAACTCGCTAGTTGTCTTTTTTGTGTTTTTCAACATTAGTCTTTTTCTGTTGATAACATGATTTCATATTTAATTTTTTAATAATGATGCAATCAAAATAAGATATCAATCTTTCATTTATCATTATCAAACCATTACTTGTAACGTGCTTTTAGAATTATATTATGTCTATTATATACTTACGGAACCATTGATGCAAAATATTGAGACAATGAAGTCATTTCTAGCATTTTATCAGCCTTAATTTCTAGTTTATTCTGTTTGAAAGATTTTATAAAAAATTGTTTCACTATGCGGAATTTTCTATTTAATGTAGAATGATAAAACATGCTTTCATTAATGATATTATCAATAATACATAAATAAGTATGATTTTATTGAAAATCGATACTCTGAAACGTTCAAAACTACTCCAAAAAAATGATTATTCGAATTTTATATAATGATAAATATTATATATTCAATTTTGAGTTGTAAAATTTTTTGTTTACAATAGCAAAAAAATATTGTGCAGTAATTTTGAATAGTCGATGTAACTGTAGAGTGAAATGTTATTTTATTGTCAATAAAATGATTTCAAGTAATGGAGGCTTAAAAAGGTCACTATGAATTTTTGGAAATCTATTGCCATAATAATTACTGATTGTTAAATGAATGAATGTTTGTTGATTGCAAAGAAGAAAAAGTACTCATCATTATTGTATCACAAAACTAAACAAGTATTTTATTTTCGCAGTAGCTTTGATTGTAAAATCTCTAGACTGCGTTTTCGAGCTATTTTTTCGCATTTTTCATGTAAAATTGTAAAATACATAAATAAACTACATTTAACCTTGTCACTATATTAACGCATTAAGCTAGAACCTATTTGATATAACTAGTTGAATATTATAAATATATAATAGTCGAAGATATTAATGTTACAATATTTACAATCATGAGGTTTAGTCTAAATTAGCTTGCACAAAACAAATTTTACTTCAAAATTTTTCGTTGCAATATGGTTTTAATCACTCTATTATCTAATCAATATCAGTGTTTCCTTTGATTGCAATAAAAATCATGTATTTCGGAAATTTATTTTCTAAGCTCTGCTCTATTTTTACTCTGAAATTTTGAATATTATTATAACCATGTTGAATGTATACTTTGCTGAACTAAAATAAAATCCAAACCTCAAGAGTGAAGATACAATGGAGACAAAATTCTAATTTATAAAATCATTTGAAGACTACAAGAAGCATTGGATTCATTTATACGGAATAATTGTATATTTGAATCGTAACTAAGTAATAGAAATTAGTATATTTGTTAAGTTGAAATCATTACTGTCAACAAAATTATCGTAACTGAATCATTTTTAGAAATCACTTAGAATTAATTAAAAAAAATTCAATTTTAATTTCCTTAAAATGGTCTGAATATAGATCGCTATAAGCCTCAATTATTTCAATAAAACTATTGCTAAAAATTCTCTACTCTTTTCAGTTACTTAGGTACGTTAGCATATTTCTTTTTTCCGTAAGCTCCATAAAAGGTAATTCATAATAGCAAAGTTATTTTTCCTTTTTGTGTAGCTAGATAAAAAAACCATCTATATCAATTAACTACAGGATATACCAATATCGAAATAAGTACAAAAACAGTTGTGATCGGCAGGTTTTTGAGCAAAAAGAGGCTTATAACGCCGGTTAAGTAAGTGAGTATAGATTAATAAATTTGGAAGAACCTTGGCATGAATACGATATATTTTTATAAATTGCAGTATTTTTGAACACGATTGTGGCAATTTAAAGGAAAATAACTCTACTATTTAAGGATTTAGAATTGCAAGCCAAGTAGTCAAGACACTGTCAAGGTATTTCCGATGTTCAATATTTTTCAAATGCAAAGTGTGTGTAAGTTCAAGTGTTTTAGAGTAAATATTTTTAATTTAAATAAAGTATTTGGCAGACTTCATAAATTTCGATTACATTTCATTACAATCACGTTAAAAATTGAGTTCTAACACAAGCCGTTAGTACCAGATGAATAGCTCATTATTATTTTAAAAATCATTAACAATAATTAACACGAACGTCTTCCAGAAATTTGATAATTCTAATAAACACTTACTATAGAATGAGGAAACTCAAACACATTGGTTTATAGATAAAAATTTTCAACACTGTTGCAGTTTCGACAGCATCTTGCTCTAAGGCTACCTACTTTCAATCTCAAATGAATCAATCATTATTGAATGACATAACATGGTCTATCTCCAGAATTATTAATAAAAAACGTAATAAAATAAACAGAAGAAAAATAGAGCGACAAAATTGAGCAAACGCCAATGACTGAAAAAACGGCGAAACAATTGATTCAGTTCATTGAAAGAGCCACAAGCATAATTAATTATACAGAAATCCTGTACTCATAAATCACAAAAATTATTTCTTTTTAGCACTCAGCGTCAATACTCATTCGCAAATCTTTCATACTCGTGTCACGTACCTAGGTCTCCCTTCGATTTTTTTTATCGCTTATCAAACGGAAACAGTAACTATCAAAGTTTAGACTTAGATTCACGCGGTGAGTAGTAACTCTTCCTGCGGGACTATTTCTTCAAAAGATACAGGCTCTGCCAATCCTCTTGCTATCAGTTCATCCGCTAAAGATATGACCTATAAAGATTGATTTATATGTATAACTGCTATAAAATCAACAATATAATTTGAAAAATGTTATAAATTTATCAGTAATGATATATTGTCTGTCAAAGAATATTAAGTCCACTACTTTCTTTTAAAAGCATCATTTGAGAAAAATTTAGTGCTTGTAAAAATAGTAAATATTGAATGTTAACTTACGCCATGTTTGTGAATATTATAGTATAGGTTTATGAAGGTGTTACAGTCAACATAGCCTACAATTTGTGCTTGACCTACGACGCTACTGCAAATTCGCATTACTACATCATATGCTTCTTGACTCCACTCGTCTGTAACAAAAAGTATTAGTTAACATTTCACAATAATAAAACAGAATATAATTACCGTAAATAAAATTACCGTCTTTCGGACGAATATTAGCTAAAAATACTTCAATGGCTTGAAAAGGTAATGTAAGGAAGTCTGATCGAATTTTCCTCATATTTGCATTGTTGAACGTCCAGAAACCACCATGGTCGACCATACGGGCCAACGTCTGTTCGCCATTTGGATCTGGGCTCTCAATGGATATCCTGACCCATCTGTCAAGCCATTTCGCTACAACTATCATTCCTTCTGTAAAGTGAAAAAAAGATTTTCATTTAATTTTCTACAACTAGTGAGTCAATTTGGAAAATAGTTTTCTCCATAATTTAATTAATTAGATAAGGTGTCTTTCAGGAAATTATAATAAGGTCCACTACTTTCTTTAATGAAACATCTGAAATGTTTTATCAACGAAAAAAATTATAATATATTTATAAGAAATATATTTACTCGTAAGTTCATCGGGTACTGGTGGAGACTCTACGTTGTCGTACAGCTGCGTAAGTCTTTCATCGAGGATACGAAGCGATGGGTAAGTAGGGTGTGTAGGCATGTGTACGAAGAAGTGATTCGGCTTATCGATGAGAGTAATGACGACATCGTTGTTGACACCCTCGATCAGTCGAAGCTGTACGAGATCAGGTATCCACGTTATTTCTTCAGGTATAAGTTCTTCATAATTAATCTGCTCGAGTGTGAGATTTGGGTATGCCTTCTCCGGGAAGTTTCGTCGAATAAGTTCGAGTGCCAACACTATATTGTCAGGAGCACCGTCGATTCTGCATATGTTCAACTCTGGATCTAATGGGTGATGCTTTACTACAATGCTTACTTCTGCCTTCTTGCGTATTTGCGTCAAGAATTTGCCACCTTTGCCTATCAATTTGCCAACTAACTTTGTTGATATGGAGAATTCATGCATTGTTCTGCTGTTATCCTTGCTGTGTCCATTAATGCTACCACCTGTAATGGATTAGTAAGTTATTAACGAAAATTTAACGAAATATTTATAGCGAAAGTTAATCAAATTAACGATTTCAAATATTCAGACCTTTTCCACTATCCGTGCTACCCTCACTTCGAGCTTCATCATTAACGCTACCGTCGAGAACACCGGAGACAGGGCTGTGATTAGCCGAGTCTCTCTCCGAAAGGGCGAGCTTCTTCTTGTCATCGCCACTCGGCGACTCGATCATTGGTTTGTCATCGCAATTCTTGAAGTCCGCCTGATGAACTTCAATGTTCGCTACCACGACCTTAGCTACTACCTCCTCCTCGATTACATTTTCCATGATACTTGAGTTTTTGCTATTGCTCTTGATTTGCTCGGCGGATCTGCTCTTGGGCATGTAGTCGAAGCCGCTGTTCGCGGGATTGCTACCCAACTGAACCTCTTTGATGCCGGGTGTATTCTCGACGTCGTTGTACCAAGGGGTATTATCCAGTTCAACAGAATTACAAGAAAGGAGCTGTGAGCTTGACCTACGATTTGGGATGTCCAAGCTTTCGCTCACTTTTCGGAGACTGCAAAAATATGCAAATTCTTATATTATTTATTTCCTTTTCAAACAGACATTAAACGATTAACAACTATCAATTTAGCCAAATTACTTATATCTGTTAAACTTTGTTTATTTCGTAGTAATCAATGGTTTTCTTTCCTTGTTCTTCAAGAATTATTTATAAATACGTTACTATTTCGTTTGTAGCCTTAAAATTAACTACAATGGTATCAATCACGAGTCTTTCAAATAGCTTTGAAAGCATTTTTTAAATTATGAAATTCCACAAAGAATTTATGAATACAAAACTATACGAGTTCAATTCCAGAATAGTAGTCCGTTGAACGGAATAGTTCCGATTAAATGTATAATTCAAGAAACAGAGAAACCCAATTAACGAAAACAAAATGAAGACATGTACACAATTAATGAAATTGAGAAAAACGTGCCTGATGATTTCCTTAACAGGGGTAGTAGCTGTTGTGTTGAGCGAGGAAGAATCGTCAGTATGTATACCGGAATCACAAAGATTGCCGTTGAGTTTGGTTGTGCTACCGTTGACGTCAGCTTTTAATTTTGGTTGTCCACCTGGATCAACTCGGTCCGCGCGTCGACGTTTGTACCATAAAAGCCCAATGATTAAGGCGACCGTGGGAAAGCTCCACTTCACCAGTTGCACGTGACCAAACGACATGATTCTTGTCCACGGTTGAATCCGTTACTCAAGCACGCAAAGCAGCACTCAAAAATCTGCAAAAAACCAACGACAAACCGTTTGATGCGTCTTCGATTCCAATACTAAGGCGTGCTGCTTTTATCACTGGCAATGTTTAATCGGGCACCAGCCCGATGACACCATTAGCACAAATACAGCTTAAAACTCCATAAGCCACACAGAGATAGTAAGTTTGTTTTCAAGCGGACGAAAATAAACGTATCTGAACGGGACTGAAACGCACACCGCTTTTTTCCTCTTGCTATTCGTTTTATCACGCGAGACTACAATGTAGACGCATTTCTAAGCTTCTTGTTCGATCACAATTCTCTCGGCTTTTAAGATTTAAACATAAACTGGCAACGTCATTTTCAACCATGATTGAACAAGTTACGGCAATGTCGACGTTCTTTCGCCAAGAGTTTCATTGGTCCGTATCGATAATAAACTTTCACGGATAAAGTTTCTTGACTAATGTTCAAGATTTTCTGCCGATTAAAAAAATATTCTATTCATGAATTCAGAATCAAGCTCTAAATTTCAAGCGATTAATCGTAATCATCAACCCCTCAAAAGTACAATCAGTCAGTCTCGCATTCACTCCGTCTGGCAATGCCAACTTCTAACAAGTTACGCTTTGTAAATTAGGTCAATTCCGCTGCAACAACTGAACGGATTTTCGAACGCCGCACTTATAGCCCGATTGCTAAAGTATAATTTGCGTCCAGTTGCATATACACTATACTTGTCTGATACGCGGACAACAACGTGAGTTCAATCAATTCGGGTTTCCTTATTTTGCATCATAATTCCTTGAACCGTAGAGTTTATTATACTTTTAAGATTGGAAAATACTCGCTTCGAATTGATTTCTGTATGTAAAGAAATTGTATTGTTTCGTTGATCCGATATGCAGTTCGATCATAATAATTTTGCGTAAAAAAGATGACATTCGGAAATAATAAAATTTTTTAGAAAGTTAACATAAAAATAGGCGAGCCTTTAATTCGAATAGACAAAATGTTCCAAATGCTAAAAAATAAAATAAAGGAAAATATCGTTGATCATCGACAAATCGAACGAATTTTTCACTTGGTTGCAGAAAATAACGAGTATTTGGTTTGCAAATAAGTGCAAAGTCGCAATGCAATTGACAATTTTTCCACGAAAAGCGGGAAAATTGTTAAAAAAAATGTTTGCACGGCTTCATAAAAAAAAAATCATTGTTCTCCCGACAAGAAAATTAAGAGAACAAGGTAATACAAATTATAAAGGAAAAACGCATGCTAAAAATAATCTTATCTACTTTTCATATTCTTTCGGCAAAAATTTTAGTGAATATTTTCCTCTTGCAAATTCACAACGAGCAGTGTAAGCGGTGACATACACTCCAATATAAACTGACAATCTATCATTTGGAATTTCCAAAGCCGTACATTAAACTATACGTTACTTTATTTCTCAATTTTTCTCGCGATTTGTGTTGTTTTGACACAAGTCTACAAATCGCGCATTCTCTTGTTACAACATTTAAGTTTCTTCTTTTTCGACTTTTCGATAATTAAATCAAACTATTTTCCGTTAAAAAAATTTTTTAAATTTAATTATGATAATTTCAACTATAATTGCAATTCGTTTATGTAAGCTCACGTAGAATGGAGAATAAATTCTTATCGCGACAATTATTTATAGTATTCTTTTTTTTAGTAAAATAGAATAAAACATAAAACCGTACAATGGAGTGTACGCAGCACAAGATAAGATGTAAAAGTCGCGACTCCACTTACTAACCGACGGTAGCATATTGAAGAGTGTGTAAAATCAGACACGTGAATGTCGTCGATTTTACATACTTCCCAGATTGCAACCAACCGTATGGCACGTATCTATCAATCAAGTGTTTTACGAAAACCAAATAAATATCCCAATTAGCCTATTACATCGAATCTAAAGCCAACACAATGATTCCTACGGTAATCGGACGAAATATTAAAAAAAAAACAATAGTAGTAGTCAGTCGAGAGAGAGAGAGAGAGAGAGAGAGAGAGAATAATGTCGCGAAGAACGCGAAAGAAGCTCGACAGATGAAAAACAAAAAAACAAAAAAACAAGATCGAAATAAAACGTCGGCAGCAAATAGTCCGGAAGATGGGCGTTCCGAAATGAAAAAAATAGTCGTGATACTCGCGGCGCGGCGTGTTCCGGAGACTTCGACGTCTATAAAAGAACGCGCGTGCGAGCGCGCTCACATATGGCGTCGTCGACACGTGCGTTGGTCACCGTACAAAATTCCCGCACTGTATATTCGACAATACTTTGGAGATATCTCGAGGTATACGAGATACGGAGACAAAACACTCACCCACAGTAGCTCCATTTTGCCAATCGTGATGTCCGCAGAGAAAAACAATATCTAACCGCCTTTTCACCGTAGAAACTCGATTATCAAGCCACTCTTTCCACCTGCCTTCTCGCAATCGTCTGAAATTGACGAAAAGGTAAACAAGGAAAAAGAATAACCAAGGAGATGGAAGCCGACGAAATTGCGAGCGGAAAGAGTACACCGGCTTTCGTCGGCGAACTGCGAAGCTCGTAGAGCAGCACGTGGCTCTTGCGGTTGTACTGTGCCGGAGGAATGAATATAGTCTGGTGCTGCTGGCCAAGGCAACTCTTGTGCGCGCGCACAGTACGCAGCTACCTGCTTTTTGTAAAACACTCTTTCTCTCTCTCTCTCTATCTCTCTCTTTCTCTTTCAACTTCGTCCTCCCTTCGAATACATGCGCGTGATAAATTTGACTGTTTGTACAACGTGAGTGTCGCGTATGGTTTTCTTTTCTCGTTGTTGGGAGTCATTGGACTTGTGACTGCAGTTTTCAGAAAAATGACTTTGCAATATGCTACGCTTGCGCAGCGGCGATTTTACTGTCGGAGAAAGAATAACAAGGATGGCTCACATCGCCTGCGCGTCAAACAGCTATTTTGTGAGATTTGGAGTCCCCTTTGCTTTACCAATGTTGAATGAATTGCTGTAACTATATTAAAAAAATTGATAACAGGAAAAACGAAGCCTGTCGTATCAGAAATAAAATAAATAAAATTGACGAACTTGATATTTCGCGACTGTCCCTATCGTGAATGTATATTATCCGAAAAAACCGAACGACCTTGGCCCGCAATACTCGAAAAAGTGTAATAATTTATATCGAAAGTCTTGTGAAAAATGTTCTGTTGAGCCGGTTCACGCGTGCGCGTCTTTCGTATGCTAATGATAATGATTATATAATTTCTACGTAAGAGCTTTAATCTGCAGTAACGTTATCGAGCGCGCGCAATTTGACCAGCGAGTGTTTAGTGCCTGATTTTATAAAGGTTGTTCAGGTGTTATCATCACAATACCAACGAGTCACGCGTTGGCGAAAAAAGAATTAGTCGGTCGCGAACGAGATAGTTAACCCGTGTAGTGATAAAGCGTCACAGAGGTATGCAGCCGTACAGGTGCATCAAAAAAATGATCAGAAGAATAAGAAAAATCGATTAGTCGTGCGTGTCGGTGTGATCGTTCGTCTAGTGACTATACGCGCAGCGAATGACCGAGGACGGCGGTGCACTGCACTCCCATCGCTTACACGTACACAAACACGCGCGCGTACACGTGTGCACAAGAAGAGCGTGCTCTCGGAATGCCGGCCTCGTCTCCACGTTGTCATCGGGTCGATGAAGTAACCGGACGACTACTATATACTCATGTAAAACGACGACGGGAGAGACGGAGATAGAAAACGCGTGAAAGATTATAAAGGTGGAACTGAAATCTTCGTGGTGGAGAAGCAACGTGTTCGGGACGTACTCGCGCGGTGACAGAGATAGAGAGTTTCGAGTGGACTGTTCTTTAGCTACGCCTTTAATAAATAAAATCAAATTGCAAACGCGTACGAATTTAACAAGCAACGCTACAAACCTACAACCACAGCCTACGTCCGCACTCTGACATATCCTGGGCCTGACTAACCGTCATGGATGCAACGAAATGCGCATCGCTCTGTCTGTCTGTCTCTCTTGCTCTCTTTCAACCTTCCTCACTGCGGAAATATCTGACGCGCACACAATCTTTACTACCCTGCTGGCCGGCCCTTCGTTTTCTCCCAGATGTTCAAGGCTCACAAATTTCAAATAAAATGAACGCACAATTACCTTTAAACTTTAATTAACTTCAATCATATAACTCAGCAATATCCATTCCTTCTAACGAATTCTACAAGCAATTCGGCATAATTTCAATATAAATTTTCTTCATTCAAAACTAAGGATAGGCAGAACGTAAAACTGTAGCTAACATTCATAAAGATAAAAAAAATCGATAAAAGCGTATGTTTAAACAAAAGAAAAAAAAACTAGAAAACTTGGATAATTGTTATTCCAGCGCTATTTATCAACAGCGTGTTTTGCAGCGTAGCAAAATTTGCATTAGAAAAAAAAAGAGAATATTCGAGAAGCAGTCTCGAAAGAAGAAATTGCTAACCGAATAACAGAAGAAGCGAAGAGTAAGTTAGAAGGAGCCTACACAAGCAAAAGCTCTGACACACCGAAAACGTAAGAGGAAAAGGAACACAAGGCCTGTAAACGGCCAGCGAGAGAGATAGATAGAGAGAGGGAGAGAGAGCAGGTATAGGAAGTGGCAAGAAACGCTCGTTTCGTGCAAGGAGAAAGAGACCTCCCCTTCGGTCCTTTCCTCGTTCATCTTGTTCTCGATTAGACACTATAATATACCCATGCGGCGCATTTTCGGAGAGAGGCATTTGCTGCTCTTAACGAAGCTTAAGCGTTTCTCTTCATTGCGGCCAAGCAACCAGTTTTCCAAAATCAACTTACAAATTTATTTTGACCATCCGAAGTTAATTACGATTATCTTCACTAAGGGCTCGTCATTAGCAATATGATCTTTCAGCCACAGAACAATCTAATCACTTTTGTCGATAATTTATTGACAATCACTTGTTAAGGATCATTTAATTTAATGTAGGTAACACTCATTTATGTTATCCAGGTATTCCGCGACTTTAACCTCTTGTTAACATGCATGATGTGTTAATCTACATTGTGACATTGTAAAAATATCGTGAAATTTATTATTAATTAGAGATTAAGGACCTTTTGTTTTTAATACTGACGCTTCTGTATTTCCAACTGATGCATTTATCATTTCATTCTGATTTATTGCCCTTTCAGATGAATAAAGCTGACTTTTGTTTTCCGAAAACCATTAACAGGTTACTTAGTTGAAAGTCAATGAAAGAACAACCCCAAGAAACTGTTATTCGCCACGAAATGTTATCCGTGAAAAACAATGTTTAGATCAAAAATAATTTGTTAACCAAAATGTCCAACAGCTAATTAGGCTATTGTGAACTAAATTGCTCATGCCGTTATGATAAAAACAATCTTTCTAACGGCATGTCGTAAGACAACCAAAATCGTATTTACTAAACTCAAACGAATATATTTTGAAGGTATACACGCGGAAAAACAAAAAATTAGGTCTTCCAACGACGACGCCATCATTGCCGAATAGACTACACAAAAACACATACAAACACACATGTGTACGCACACGCGCGCCAAGGGAACCTCTCAAAGTTGATCACGACCTCTAACGAAATCCGGCCATGAAGAAAGCTAACAGCGTCCGTCGTTGACATATTGAGAAACCTATTATTCGACTCAATGACTTTATTTTTGTATAACAATTATACCTTTAATGCTTTAAACGCGAGGACAGATATGAAGATTATTTTATTACTATTATGACTGTTTTCACGAGGCGACAGCAGTGTCATGTACACACAGCGCAAGGAAACGCTGAATAATGAATTTCGTTAGGCATGTCGAGTTTTGTTAAAGAGTCGGCGGCTTGTGTCGCATTACACAAGAAAGGCGATTTTACGAAAGTCTTACGAACATTGACGGAAATATTTGAGTCAGAAAACACTTTATGCCTCGACAGATGCCGCATTGTAATTGCAGTACGAGTTTTAGATTTATAAACATTTTATTTGACACTTCAATGAACTTATATTTTGACAAATCGACTATTCGAATTAATTTAGCACTGATTAACAAGCGAAAAAAAACATCTTTATCTGTCCGAACACATGCTTATAGCAGAATTTATTCGATTCAATGCAGTGTCACAGATAATGATCAAATGAATAAGAACTAATTCAAAGTTTCTAAGAAACTAACTAAGGTTAAAAATATTTGTATGTTATTTCTTACGGAAAAAAAACAAAATCATCAGTTTGTGTTAAGATACAATGTATTTCTTGCAGTGCAATAATCAGATAATCATATCCCTCTCAGGGTCATAGCGAATAGTGTTTGAACATTACTAGCCTAAGGAAATAATACTCATATCATAGTCTTTCTTTTGAAATCATTTCTATTCTATCACTCGTATGTGTATCCATTGGTAACGTAGTAATGCGAACATAAAAATGTTGAAAGAGAAGTGACACTTATTTGCTGAATCCGTAACTAACCGATGTAAAAAAACTAATTTTTTATACTTTACTTTTACGCTGACGTAATCCAATCAATGTTATCTCTGCCGTGTGATAAAACAAACTCGGACTTTGCAGAAAGTTTCCGCGTAAAATCGCGATTATTTATAAGATGGTTTCGTTCTTCTTACCCGTGCTGTCACGTAATCGTAATGACATACGATTAAAGCATGGCTATAACTTTGAGGATGCGACTATGTTTTCAGAGCACAAGCTTATAGTCGACTTATATACACTCGCGTTTTTTTTTCTTCAATTTTCAATATCGTTTCATGCAAATGCCAATTAAATCAACGTTGATACATGTCACTTAGGATACGCACAAGCTTATTAAAAAAATCACGTTTGATAATATAATTCTATATATGTAATACAATAAGCAATAATTTTTACACAGTGTTTCAACTTGTATTGAATGCAAGCGTATTGAATTTATAAATCAAGTATATATAATCTTGGATGAGAACTGAATTAAAACAAGCTCTAACAAAGACTGGATTGAAATTTTAATCACTCATCACTCAATAATTACAATACATATTGGCCAAATCAAAAACAATAGTCAGTAAAAGAAGTAAAAGAATGAAAAGAAATTCAACGGCTTTTTAAAAATTTTATCTTTGAACGCTTTACTTTAGCTAATCCAACAGCCCCCTGGACAGAAAATAGCAGCTGTGCCTATGAAAAATAGCAAGGGCAAGAGAGATACACAGTAACAATAGACGTGGCAGGGAAAGCGCAACGGCGACAGGACGAGCTGTCAAACTGCGTGGCTAAAAATTCTGGGAAATACGTTATAAAAGTAAAAAAATTTTACAGTTTTCCATGGCGATTAAGTATTTATTCGCAATGAAAATAAGGAAATTTTGAATGGTAATGCTTGTCTGACGAACAACTTGAACGTTGCCGGGACGCAATTGCTGATTCGATGGATTCTTCCATATGTCAAAGCAACTTTTTCGTAAATGTATTCACCGTTGAACATTGAATTATGAATACAAGTTTAAACCTTTGTCAGATAAGCTCCCGTAGACGATTGCATATTTTACAACTCATTTGTAAATATTTT